CTAGAATTAGGAGTATCGAGAGGTTCTTCTTCGATTTAAACTATTATCTAGCTTATACTTAGGTATTAACCTAAGTAACGTAGTTCTAAAGCTCCTCTATTAGTATAAGATTATAGATCGAGTACTTATAGTTACTACCGATAATATATTAAATAATAATACTATAATAGTAAGTATCTAAGAATTACTCTAGTCGCTTAAGCTAAATAATAGTACTATAATTATTTAGATTCCTTATATTACCTATATTATCTAGCTTAGTCTAAATAATCTTCTTAGGAAGATAAAGATAATTCTAAAGAATAAGAATATAGAGATAGACTAGTCTAATAACTATATTCGATCTCTTTATATAAGGTAATAAAAAAGAGAAATTGTTAATACGCTTAATAAGATATATCCCTATAACTCTACTTTTTTTATTATACTAATCCTTCTATTCTTTTATAGGTCCGAAACCTTACTATCTATATTAACGTAAGTCTATAATAGAGAGAGTTATTCTATAACCTTTAAACTAAAGAGCTAAAGCTTATTCCGATTTAAGATATCCGAACTCGCTAGAATTCGATATTTTTAATACTCTAATATACTAAACGGCTCTAATTAACCTTTAATTAATTCTACGCTTAATATAACTAGGAATACTTTATACTAAGTCTAGAAGAGTAGCGATAGATTAACTATCTTCTTTAGATTACCTAGCCTTTCTTTAAATTTACTACTCTTCTTTCTAAAACTAAGGATATTAGTATTTATCTAATCTTTAATATTTATAATAAGCTCTTTAACTACTTTAAGAAGTTAAAGACTACTTTAAAATAGAAGAAGATTATATAGAAGTAGCTTATACTTACTTCTCTTAAGATAGTAGAGAAGAAGCTTTTATAATATTATAGCTAGACCGATTAAATTAATAATAATCTTTATATAATTAATACTATTCTTTTACTTTAATAAAAGCTTAACTTTTTAAAGAAAAGGACTAAGATAATCCGGTTAATAACTAACGTATAATCTATCGAGTAAGTCTTAAGGAATATTTTTAGTCCTATAAGAAACTTTATTTAGATATATAATTATTATCTAGAGCTCGATTATCTATAATCGCGATTTTAGAGTTTAAAATAGAATATAAGATAGAAGAGTCCTAGCCCTTAATATTAAGTAAATATAATAAGCTTAAGGAATATTTTAATAGTAGTAAGTTATATCCTTTTATTATCTATCCTATATTAACTTATATTTAAGATATTATATAAACGCCTACCTACGTATTTTAGAAGGAGTATTAGTATTAGTACCCTACTCTTATAAAGCTTATACGCGATATACTATTAATACTAGCTATAGAGGCGGATATAAAACGCCTTTTTAACTCTACCTAGGATATTTATTACTACCGATAAGGCTCTCTAAAGGTATTAACTATTTAAGATCTAATAATATTTATATATATATTAAAATTTAAGATCGAAGATACCTACTAAGCTTTGATTAATAAGTATCTTTTATATAAAGAGATATAAGCTAGCTAAAAGGAGAGGGATATAACTAATACTTATTATTTTAACCTTATAAGTAATAATAACGAGGGTAGTAATACTTATAAAGACGTAGAGGATAAGGATAGTACTATCTAAGTAGTAGTTAATTAAGGTTAATTATAACGGAGGTAGCGTACTTAGTCGGAGCTCGAAGTTAAAGAGTAGGAGGATATAGATAGTAAGCCTAAGTTGCCTTATATATAACGGTATTTAGGGAGGGTTCGGAAGCGTTTAAGTATACTTAATAGTTATAAAATTAAGAGTAATAAACGCCGTAGAACTTAAAGCTATATAATATATATTAGTTCCTTAAAAAATAAGATATTTCTATTAATATTTGATATTATTTAGCCCGGTTAAATAATTACTCCTAGTTATATTTATTTTCTATAATACTAAGGTATAAACTAAATACTAAATAATATAGCTAAAAAATATATATTTTATATAACTCTAGGGATTTCCCTATTTATCCTATTTGTCGGCCCTTAAAATGTTTAGAGGGCCGCCCTCGGAGGGTAAGAAAATAACCTACCCGACCCGCGGGTAGGCGTCGCCCGCCCTCCGCCCGCAAAAGTGCGGGTCTGTGGGCGGCCCTCAGAGGGCCGCTCGCGGGCGGTTATGAGGTCTACGTAGAGTAACCTATATAACGGAATCCTCTACGGGGTAGATCCGCTTAGGGCGGATCATACTCTTGCTTAGTGAGCTTGTACGTGATCTGCTGACAGATCTGTTGGTTGGCTCTCGATGGCCCATTGGTGTGCCTAGTGGGTCACCACTGATTGGTGACGGATAGGTCCGTAACAGAGTCCTCGTTTATTTAAGTCGTTCTCTTTTATAATCTTCTCGATTATCTATATATTTATATTTTCTAAGTTAAAGTTGTCTATCGGGGTCTAGTATACTACGACGCCGAAACGCGCCTTAACTAGTTTTATATTATTTCCTAGTTTATATAGCTATTTAACGTTATTATAAGCTACTTCCGCCGATTCTATATCCTTAAACTAGATAATATATCTAGTTTTAGTAATACCTACCCTAGTAATTTAGGTATCTTATATAGATAGTATACGTAAGAGTATTATACGGATATAAGTATTCGCGGTCTCCGTTAGGAGATATCGCCTAAAGGTATTATATTCGCTACTATTATTATCTCTAGGATCTATAAAAGTACGTTAAGTACTAATTCGAATATAGTTCTAGTCCTTATCTAGGCGCTAGTAGTTCGGTTAAAGGGGTAGGTAGGTCGCTACTACCGCGGCCTATAATTTTATTATAGGTAATAATAGGAGCGTATCGATTTACGCCTATAAAGCTCGAACTTCTTTATAGAGTTTCTTATTTTATATATAGAGGACGTTCTAGTTATACCTTACTTCTAGTAATTCGTTCTTAGTAGATTAGATAAGCTCGGTTTAATAGGCGATCGTTTCTTTTAAGCCGTCGATAAGTCGCTAGATTTCCTAAGTCGTAACGCGTCTATTATAGTCTATAGTACCTATACTTTCGGCGTTAGAGCGGGTCATAGTAGTAGGACTATCGCTAGGTCGAGTCTATCTTCTAGTCCGAGGTACGGTACCTAAATTAAGGTTATCTAACGCGTCGGTCGTTATCGATCCTAGCGCGGTTATACGAGGGGGCTCGGGAGTACTTATATATAGGTCCGCTATCCTTTCCGCTTAGTATATAACAACAATTTTTCCGGAATAGGATCGTCGGCTTTACTAGTCTCTCGAAGGATAGGCCTATATAGGATGTTTTGTTCGCTATATAGGATGGATCGACTTAGGCATAGGATGATGAAGGTATAGGATGGATCGAAATCAGTTTCACCACTCCACTCTCATAGAAACTTTCTCAAACCCTGATCTGAAACACGCTAATCTATATCTGACTTAGCTCTGCTTCAAGAATCGAAATGTATTGAAAGTGTATCTCATATGATACGGGATTCTATAGATTACATGAAATTCTCTTGCCAAAAATACCGCCACCTCGCGTTCCCTGAAGGATAGCTCGCCCGTTGGATCACTTCCGTCAATTCTTGCCATCAACCTTTCTCAAGCGAGATTCACCAAAATGACACAGCTGAACCCTGCGCTTGATTTGCACTGAATCAATCTATGCTACAGGGATTATTCTAGGAAACCACAGCATAGCCAGAAATTGTTTGAAAAATCGTTTGTGATTAGCAGAATGGAGAACAGCGCTCGTCAGCCTCAAGTACAGTATACGAAGCTATGCTTACCTGGTTGCTGCAGATGCAGTAAATGTTCCCTGTAAATTTGAAAACTACAAGGTGTGGGTAGTAAATGGACTTTTAGGTAAGGCCGCCTTTATTCATAGCAGGGCTCTTCTGAGTGAATTTAGCCAATATCTCATCATATACAAAACATCGAATTTAATGCGACTTTCCAAACTGCAGACTGCTGAGATACACGCTCCAAAACAGAGAAAGCATCGCAATCATCATGGAAAGCGGGATAGATGGGTTTTGTAAGTCTGTGCCAAGCCCCCGGGGTACAATCCATGCCAAAAAGAACGCTAGCAAAGGTGATACACAGACAAGATTGTAGAGAATGATCCAACGTAAGCTGATTTTTTCGCGCGCATAGATCCCCCAGAAATCTTCTCGCTTGTTGCCTGCTTCTTCTAGTTCAGTTCTTTTCTTTGGGAGGAACTTCAGGATGTCAGAGGAATGTGCCCCGAGTTTTCTACATTGGTGGTGCAGGTGAAGTAGTGGTCGTGGTTTGTGACAAGCGTAGAAACGTTTCATGAATTCGTGCTCTGAGATTGGCGGAATGTTGTCCATCGGTTTTGGTTGATACTCGTAATCAATGTTCGCATGGTCAGGGAATGAATCTTTGATTCTGAGCGTAAACTCGTGGTCATCGAACTTCTCGAACTGAGATGTTTTGTTTAACAACACCCTAGAATACCAGGCAATAGCACTCACTTTGTAAAATTCGCAATGAGAGTACCTCCAAACGCTGAACCAGCCTCGCAGGACACCTCTCAGGCGAAAATACTCCTTTTTCATGGTGCTGAAGAAGGTATAACAGTTCATATTGCTAACGCAGATTTGTGCGAGTCTATAATCTCCACCCTTTTTTGCGAGAAAGAGGACGCGGTGCCGAGTGATGCTCATATTGGCCTTGATTCCCGAGGGTCGACGATGAAGTGAAAAATAAGAGGGTGAACTGTTCGGCTGCTCAACTCCATGATCTTCATAGGAACTCTGGTCAGAAATTAGACTGTTGTTTTGGACGCTGCAAGGGCTCGGATTAGATCTAGTATGTGCCTCTGGAGGAGGCTGCGTAATTTGGGTTGCCGACGTAGCCACGGGAAGACTTCTGATTATCGACTGGAGGCGCTTTACAAGGGTGTTTGGTACCTCTGCCCATCGCTCTTCGCCACATACCTGTATCGCTGGTTAGAGCTGGATCCTTATTGTGTAAGGCTGTCCATAATTTGAATACTCACACACTTCCACCGTAGCCGTGTCTCTGATTCCGCCAGTGGTCTCGGAAAGCGGGGTAACGGCCACCAATCCCAAGGCTCTCCAGTCCAGCGCTCAATTAGATGCTGATAGTGGCTGATGAACATGACAAATCGAGAACTTATCTCGTCACGTTCAAATCGAATCTCGAAGGGACTCACGTCCTGTAAATCTGTGACAAGGTTCCGCAGTTTATACCGAGCAGCATCGCCATGGTTCTTATGTCCTGGATTTGACCACCTTGTCACTAGATCCCGAAACCGGCAGTTCAGCGAGGGTTGAACAAACTCCTTGAGCCGACGACGAAGGATCTGGTAGGCGGAGCTTTCCAGAATGAAGTGCTTCATTTGATCCAAGTTTTGCAAAGATCCCTCATAAGGCTCATCCTCGCCAGCTTCCTCTGCCACGGATTCTTGGTCACTTTCCTCAGCATCAGGAACGAGCACTTCAATTACTTGGCTTGTCTGAGGAGCAGTGCCACCACTGTGTAGACTTTGAAGATAGGATTCCACTTTTCTCTGGTGAGCTAGGCGTTTTTCCGCGGATGGAATTCCACGTTCTGCCTCTAGAACGGTAGGTTTGATCTTTCGTTGCTCGTCAATAGGTGCCATGGCAAAGAGCTCGCAGGTGATCATGACCGAATATGAGCTTATAAATCTCCTTAGGTCTCGGTGCGATTCGCTGAGGATATCTGCCTTGAGGTTATTCGCAAAGTGTTTCAGCAGTCTCCGAAAGTTGTTGCGCATCCGCTCAAATCCGATCGGTTCTTTTGATACGCCGATCAAAAGTAGCGAAAGCATAACTCCATCTTCATTCAGCAAGTTTGCAAACTCCTGAATCAACAACGAATCCATTTCTCCTCTTCCAGAGTCCAAAGATCTCGTGCTAGGTATAGAGATAGGAACAGAAAACACTGACTCGCTCTCAATGGATGAATCGGAATCCACGAAATTCACATGTCTATTATGTTCGGCAGTTTCCAAGGAGACGTCCAGAGTGTTGAGATGCCCAGGCCCTGTCATCTGCCTGCGAGACTTCATCACCTGCACATCAAGCTGTCCGGCCTCTTCCAACCGGCCCTGATTCCGGTACGTCGATGCTAGGTTGGCCATACTCACCAGCGTGTCAGGATGGTCCGCGCCGAGCTTCGTCTTGCGAGTCTCCAAAACCTGCACCTCCAGCTGCTCAGCCTCTTCCCACCGGCCTTGATTCCGGTATGTCGACGCTAGGTTGGCCATACTGGTCAGCGTGTCAGGATGGTCTGCGCCGAGCTTCATCTTGCGAGTCTCCAAAACCTGCACCTCCAGCTGCTCAGCCTCTTCCCACCGGCCTTGATTCCGGTATGTCGACGCTAGGTTGGCCATACTGGTCAGCGTGTCAGGATGGTCTGCGCCGAGCTTCATCTTGCGAGTCTCCAAAACCTGCACCTCCAGCTGCTCAGCCTCTTCCCACCGGCCTTGATTCCGGTATGTCGACGCTAGGTTGGCTATACTGGTCAGCGTGTCAGGATGGTCTGCGCCGAGCTTCGTCTTGCGAGTCACCAAAACCTGCATGTTGAGCTGCTCGGCCTCTTCCCACCGGCCTTGATTCCGGTATGTCGATGCTAAATTGGCCATACTGGTCAGCGTGTCAGGATGGTCTGCGCCGAGCTTCATCTTGCGAGTCTCCAAAACCTGCACCTCCAGCTGCTCAGCCTCTTCCCACCGGCCTTGATTCCGGTATGTCGACGCTAGGTTGGCCATACTGGTCAGCGTGTCAGGATGGTCTGCGCCGAGCTTCGTCTTGCGAGTCACCAAAACCTGCATGTTGAGCTGCTCGGCCTCTTCCCACCGGCCTTGATTCCGGTACGTCGATGCCAAATTGGCCATACTCGCCAGCGTGTCAGGATGATCCACGCCGAGCCTCATCCTACGAGTTTCTAAAACCTGTACCTCGAGCTGCTCGGCCTCCTCCCACCGACCCTGTTTCAAATAGGTCGACGCGAGGTTATTCATACTCGTCAGCGTGTCAGGATGGTCCTCGCCAAGCTTCATCGTGCAAGTCTCCATCACCTGCACCTCAAGCCGCTCGGCCTCTTCCCACCGGCCTTGATTCCGGTACGTCGATGCCAGATTGGCCATACTTATCAGCGTGTCAGGATGGTCTGCGCCGAGCTTCGTCTTGCGAGTCACCAAAACCTGCACGTTGAGCTGCTCGGCCTCCCCCCACCAGCCCTCAAGCGAATATGCTTTGGCTAGCATATCAGTACTTGCAAGAGCTTCTTTATCCTCGAGACCAAGTATTTTCATTCTCTCCTGTCTTGATTTTGATGCCATCTCCCTCACATCCGCAATGTTGCCGCTTTCCGACGCATACCATGCACCTCTATAAAGGAGAGTGGCCCATTTTAATAGAGACTCTACTGATTCCGGTCGTTGAGACATCGCTGATCGAACGTGAGGAAAGAGTGATCGGCATTTCCCCCAATTTTTATATCGACCAGTAGGAAATTCTCGGTACAAATTGCTGACGAACTTCTCCCTCCATTGGTCTATCTCTCTATGAGATCTCAACCACGCGCGCGTAGTCAATTGCACTAGCCTATTCATCGTGAATGAAGTGCTATTCTCGCTGATAGATATGAATGAATAATCTCTCAATGTTGTGATGCTATCCTCAAATTCAGGGTCCACATCATATTCAGATGTCTCGCCGGCACTGGAGTCGTTAGAGAGCTCTGAATTAGGGTTGAGGCTGGCCTCGGGTTGATGCCGAATCAGCTTCTCGGGTATCCCTTGTCGATCGAAAAAACTCATTAGAGAAAGTAATCCAGCCGCAGATGGCTTTGTGTGGCGAATATGATCGAAAGACATTTGCCAGGTTACTAGAATGGAATTTTTTGCTTCCCAGTCCCGGTAGAGATGACCTGCCTCGTTTTTGAGAAGATTTATCGCTTTGCGATCACTCCCTCGGAAGTCTTTTAGATATTGTGATACCGAATAGCGAGGGGCCCGAATTCTGATATAGCTAGCGGCTTGTACGATCGCAAGAGGTATACGCTCGAGCTCTTCCACTAATTGTCGACTCTCCCGGCTCTCCCCTGGTTGTTTAAGCTTTCTTTGGAGAAGCTCTTGCGCCTCGGACCTTTCCATCGGATTAACTTCAATAAGGTCCTTGTGATCGACTATCTTTAATGCAACCTCTCTGGTCCGACTTGTGATAATAGTAAAACCATTTAAGCTTCTAGGAATATATTCCAATAGTGGTTTGGTCGAGGCGTTAATTAGATCTCCTATTGTATCTCCCTCGCTTGTCGCCGGCGACGAGTAAAGAAGTTGATCGTCATCGATATTATCAAGGATACAAACCCATTTCCCGATCTTCTCATCCCGAAGCCAATTTTCGACCAGTTTGAATATGTTCACTTTAGGATCTCGACGACCTGAGATTTTGATCTTATCGGCAATGTCCCGGAAACTTTGCTCAAATCGGGCTTCATTACTCGCATGGACCCAGAAAACAAATGTCTCCGGCGATTCAGATCGGACCTGGTAGGAATATTCTATGGCGAGTTGCGATTTACTTGGAATTGTGAGCATTAAAATATGCACTGTTTGCTCTACACTTACCCAATACCGCCAAGGCCGACAAGAGCTATCCTACACCCAGGGACCGAGCTTTTCTCGTGAATCCGATGAAGCAGTATGTCGCGGCTCACAAAGTCAGGATCTCGATTGAACGGGATTGTCGATAACGGGCTGGGTGGAATTTCCGGTCGCTCTAGGGTGGCAAGCAGCGGTTAGTCAGTCGATTGTGACCTTATCCTGTTCCTGGCTTACCTGGAGGCAGGTGGAAATCCGCGTTGCTCAGTCCATGGGTAACTCCAACCTGGATTCCATGGTTGTTGTCAGGAAATGGCATCGATGCCATGATGAAATAGATTGCTTCGTGTGTGGTTCATCACAAGAATTCTTGTTGGATTCCCACGAGCTGAAAGAGGGGCACGACTTTCCCCATCGTCATGTGACATCCAGTGCGCTAGGCCAGGAATTAGCTCTGCCTTTTAGCCCACCCACACCGTTTTCCGAATGGTAGTCTATCGATCATGCTGCCATGTGGAGTGGGCCAGTGTCGTTCCTAGGAACTGATCGACCCGGTCCAGAACAACTAGATCTTGCGAGCCGGCGATAACTAGCCATTGTTCCAGATAAGACGCTTCGATCTCATCACCTGAAGAGGCTACTGTTTCCCAGCTCTTTCAAGCGTGAATTACGAGAACCACTAGATTACAATGGCTATGATCGGGAACACGATGCGCCTTTTCTTTACACCCAGGAACGGATCGAGCCTAGCCAGAACGGTCAGATCCTAATGCTGCCAGCTGTTTCGAATGCACGTTATAAGCAAACCAAATGTCATATTTGATCACTTCTAAGGTCGAAATAGCACATATTGCTGCCATCTTCGCAGCCGCAGTTTTTGAGATGAGCCACTAATCTCCCAGGAACTTCGCTATTGCAAAGTCACGTGCATTTCCTAATGCGCAGCTTGCAAGCACGCTTTCTCTTTCTCGGAGGCTTTGGACTAGACCAAATAGCTTTGTTCAGCCCGTGGATGTCGTGCAAATGATGTCGAAGGTCACGCTCATTGTCGAAAGCTTGGGCACAACCGCATACTGGCTTCGTTGTAGGCCACTGGAGCCCACACATATGCTGTTCTTCGATGTGTTGCCTCAGGTTGCCACTTTTCAGCCAATAATCCAATCGTTCTTCCGCGGGAAGATCCGCATTCCACAAGCACAAGGGACAGTAGCCAGGGCGGATCACCGTGTGACGATATATAATAACTTCACAGTGTTGAGTTTCCCATGACTGGAGATGAGCATTGCAGTGATCTCGCCATTCACTTAACAAGCACCACTCCATACATTCGTAACAAAAGCGCATTTGTGACTCCGAGACTTGAAAACCAGCTGCCTTCTCGCTTCGAACGCATGCATGGATGTGAGTGCTTCGTTCACTTTTTTTTAAGCTGATTGAATCTGTTAAAGGGCTCCATAATCACGGCCAAAGATCCACTTACCTTGCAATGATGGCCTGGCAGGCTTTAGCGGGATAGGCACTATGAATCGGACTTTCATTGGGAAGGTAGACCACATCAAAGTCGCGAGAGCATTGAGTCTGTAAGTCTTTCACGAACATGATTTTCTCTTTAAAGGACAGCTCAGTGGTACGGGACATCGCTGCTACGATTCGCGCAATTTCAGGCATGATCAAACTCTGAGCGCGTATACAAACATCATTTGTCACTGAGACCGGCGGTCCTTTGCCCCGGTTGAGGATTTTTTGATCCCTTCTCGCCTGTACCCACGAGGCTTGATACCTTTTGAGCTCAAAACGGCGCTGTCGAATCAATGCGTTCCTGTAATGCAGCTTCGTGGCCGGAAGACCCGTCTGATTATCGCACTTTTTGAGTTCTCCGATGCGTTTTCTCAATTCCACTATTTCAGGTAGCATTAAAATACTTTCCTCAATGCGAGCAGGCAAATTAACAGGAAGGCCAGGCTCACGAAATTGAGTGTAGCCCTGGAAGTACTCAATGTGATTCGTTTCTTCTTTCTCATCAAGAACAGCCGAGACTGTGTCTATAGAGGAGCAATGAGCTTGATAGTGCTCTGGAAACGTTTTTGGGTCCCGATGCGCTAAAATTTGTGAGACAGGCGTAGAGCCATACCTTGCTGTATTAGGCGTTAACCACCGGATCATGCTCGGTCGAATTGGTATTCAGATTTGCTTACATTCGACCTCCTTCGCTAGATTCCTTCGCAAACAATATATTGTCGGGTGCTTAGTGTAGCCAGCTATATCAAATATTTGGTGTAGGTAGGAGGAAAACTCTTTGTTCGTAAGAGGAATATCTTAAGGCCTATCGGCTGTGACATTCCGGAAAATCGGTTTCGTCTTAAAACTTTCCTTCTATTTTAATGGGATCTCTCTATTCGATAGATTATATTCTTCTAAATCTGAAATAGTCTCTATGCTAAAAAGAGCGCTATGTATAAGTGCGAGTGCGAGGAGAAGTTAGCTAGATACGAATTGCGGTTTGTTACTATCACGGATACCGATTCCGAACCTAAGAATAAGTTAATAGAATTTAAAAAAAGAAAAAAAATTCTTTTGAATCCTTATACTATGTACTTTTTATCACGATTATTCTTAAGCCATTTCTGGTTAACTCTCTATCTAACCTCCTATAGAGCGGTGGATAAAGGAAATAGAACTAACTTGATGTCCTGGTTTAAAAATTAGAACAGAATAAACTTTAGAGACGGTTTATATATACTTCGTATCGAAGGCCTTTGTAGTGTTTATCCTTATTAGAAGGTATAAAAGTTCCGACTCTTACCCCCGTGAAAAGGTATAATTAAAGAGCAAATAGTATAAGAACCTTAGTCAGCCTAGGAATAAATTTTTGATAGTTAGTTTGCCAAATTGAGGCGATAACTTTCAAAAAGTCATCCCTCTTGAAGTTATACTTCTGCTTTTTCTGGTTTACGATAATGCCCTCTACTGTCAATGTGTTTTTTATCCACTATATTCTATAGAAGAGTAGAGTTAGTAATAAGTTAATAGTAGAGAAATAAAGAACCTATATTATATACTTCTTTTCTATCCTTCTTGGTGTTACGTACTAGCTAACTAGTCACAGTTAGGTTAGATAGGTTCAGGGTATACTTGCCTTAATACTCCTCGAATGGTCTAACGTTAATGATCGGATCGTAACTAAGCTATCGCCGCGTAGGGCCTTACTATAGCCTAAGTCCTTTTAAGCGATTAAGGAACTAATACTAGGTAGAGCGCCGAGTAGATCTATACCGGAGTATTAGTCTACTCGTAAGTATTATTAAGTTATAATTAAATAAAGAGTTATAGTAATCTAAAAGGTAAATATAAGTAATAATATATAATTAAAGACGAAGAACTAAACTAGATATATAAATAAGTATCCTTATATATCCTTAAGTTCTTCCTATATAGAATAGTAGATAGTAGAATAGTAGAATCGCTTTAGCGGATTCTACTAATCTACTTACTACCCTTCTACTACCTATATAATTATATAATACTAAGTAGCGGTTATCTAGTATATAGAGTAACCTATATATCGGAAATCCTCTATAGGGTAGATCCGCTTAGGGCGGATTATACTCTTACTTAGTAAGCTTATACGTAATCTACTAATAGGTATCCTAGTTAGCTCTCGATAGCCTATTAGTATACCTAGTAGGTTACTACTAATTAGTAACGGATAGGTCTATAATATTACCTCCCCTCTTCCTAGGAGTTTCGTCCCTAAGACTTATAAAGCTATAGTATCCCCCCTTAGGTAGGTAATAGATTTCTTCTCTTTAAAATAATACTTCCTTATTATATCTAAACGAAAGGCTAACTTTATTTCTTTACTTACTTCTAAACTTCCCTCCTATTCTTCTAATACTTATTATTATTAGACGACTTATATCGAAGATAATAGTTTTACTACCTCTATTTCCTATAATTATTATAAATTAGTAGGTATTACTTATTATTACGGACCTATCCGTCACCAATCAGTGGTGACCCACAGGTATACCAATGGGCCATCGAGAGCCAACAGATCGAGATCACGTACGACGTATCTGGTAGAAAAGGGTTCGCCGGAAGGTAGCTATTACCGGCCCTCGCGGGGCAAATAGCAATTCTACCTCATAACAATATCGATCACCCGTAACCGCCTAGAACACGTAACCGTGACTCTAGGACCTACTCCTAGGGAGTATATCCGGGGAGTCACCAGCGACTCCCGTAGTGACTCTAAGGGAGTCACTTAGGGAGTAGGAAACGAAGGATATATAAGGACACTCCCTCATATACTTAGTTTAGTTCTTCGTCTTTAATTATATATTATTACTTATATTTACCTTTTAGATTACTATAACTCTTTACTTAATTATAACTTAATAATACTTATAAGTAGACTAATACCCCGGTATAGATCTACTCGGCGCTCTACCTAGTATCAGTTCTTTAATCGCTTAAAAGGACTTAGGCTATAGTAAGGCCCTACGCGGTAATAGCTTAGTTAAGACCCGATTATTAACGTTAGACTATTCGAGGAGTATTAAGGTAAGTATACCCTAAACCTATCTAACCTAACTATAATTAGTTAGCTAGTATATAATATATTAAAGACTATCTCGAATTAAGTTTTAAGTTACCGATAAGTAATATATCTTCTATTAGTACCGGGAAGAAACCCGTTTAGGAATAGGTTACTCTACCTATAGAGGATCCTAACTCTAATATCGAACGAGATAATACTATTACGGAATAGAAGCGAAAGATTAGCGAACTTAAGTATAATCTTAAAAAGGTTATAGATTAGCTTAGTAACTTAGGTAAGTAAAGCGGTACTAAGTTTAGCGAGGTCGATAACTACCTCGAGTAGATTAAGGCTTAAGTTAATATATCCGTACCTATTAGTACTATCTAGATACTACGATTGCCTAAGGCTAAGTTCTTTAAGGGAAACCGAATTAAACTTCGAGGATTCCTTACTTAGATAGATATATATCTCGATATAAATAGTACTAAGATACCTAACGAAGCCGGTAAGGTGATTTTTATATTAACCTACTTACGCAGCTAGGTATAGGATTAGTTCGAACCTTATATCTATAACTATTATAAGAAGAAACCTAAAGAATAGTCGGATATTATAATAAATATCTTTAGCGAGTATCGTAACTTCCGTCGATACCTCGAAAATACGTTCGGAGATATCGACGCTATAAGAATAGCCTAGAAAAAGTTATAACAAATCCGATAAACCGGAACTATATTAAGCTATACCTCTAAGTTCTTATAAATTATCTCTTACTTAGATTAGCTAGATAGAGTATATCTTCCTTACTTCGAAGCTAGAATAAAATCCGATATTAAGGACGAACTCGCGCGAATAGATTAGCTAGAGGAGCTTAATTAATTTATTAAGATTATAGTTAAGATCGATAACTATAATAGCGAACGAAGAAGGGAATAATACGAAATAGAATTATAGAAGTATAGAAAGATATATAGCTTTAACCGATTCGGTAGACGCCGCGAAAGAATAATACTATAGGATAATAATCTATATAGCCCGAAGCTAATAGAGTTAGACGCTACTTATAATAAGTAAAAAGAGCGTTGTAATAAGAATCTCTACTTTATCTATGGGAAACTAGGATACCGCGCGAAGAAATATAAATAGAAGAAACTATACGAGAAACGGCAATATATATAGGCGATACATAAAGTACTACGAGCGACCTAAGAGGGAAAAGCTACTACTAGTATAGGTACTAGCGCCGAAGGAATAAACGCTAGTTAGGAATACTAGGAGGAAATATACCCTAACGAGTAATAGGGCGACTTAAGAGGGTAGGTCGGGACCCTTATTAATAGCCTTAGAAGTAGTAGGCAAGTCGCTATAGACCTAAAGAACGAACTCTTAGAAAATCTCTTAGTAAGATAGACTAACCTAAGCCTAGAAGAGATAATAGCGGGTAACCTATATATTAAAGGGTTAGCCGACGAGCTAGAATTCGATTATCTAGAAATCGATTAGGATATAGTAGAAAGTTAAGGGTAAATATAATACGTACCCTAAGTACTAATCTAGGACCTAATAGGACTTACGGCTAGGGAGGACCTTAGTTAGCGGTTATAAGACCTACTAGGACTAGAAACTATAGTCGCGGGAATAAAAGAGTCCTAGGACCCTAAGTATCTTACGACTAACGATATAGGGCCTATAGAGATATAAAACCCGATCCCTAGAGCTAATAGTAATCTAGGAACGCTAGATACGCTTCCCGGAATAGATTAAACTATCCTAGAAATACTAATAGAAAGCCCTACGAACTATTATAATAATAAAGAAGCTAAAGAGCTTATAGGATATCTTAAAGGAAAGATATAGCCTAGTAGACTAGACTAGTATCTTATTAACGTAATTAAAGAAGGCGACGATCTAGTAGGATACCCTTACGAAAATTCTACTTACGCGTATAAAGAATATACGCGATACCTAGGATATAGTAAAATAGCTAGTATTATATACTACGACGAGACGTATACTATTTATAGGTTAGTAAAGTTAGATTACGGTATCGAACCGAAACTACTATAGTAGATAAAGAAGCTATAATAGACAAAAGGATACTAAGGAATTTAGTATAATAGGCGCTAGATATATAATTACGAGGGTCGACTAATAATATATCTAGTAGTAATAACGTTAGGAATATATATTAAGTTATATACGATTCTACCTATAGGGAAGATATAGACTCTTATCGACTTAGGAGCTACTAACAATTTTATAAACCTAAGGTTTAAGGAAGATCGATAAGTTATAACTAAACCCCTACTATACGTAATACTAGTCGTAGGACTCGATAGAGAAGTACTCTTAGGAGGAGTTAGCGAGGAAACTATTATATTACCTATATCTATCTATAGATACCTAGAATTAATATAGTTTAATATCTTAGAAATAGGAGACTACGATATTATTTTAGATATTCTATAGCTTAAGAAGTATAACCTAAGTATTAATTAGTAGTCGGGATATACCTTATTCGATAGATATATATATATAGAGATATATAACGAATATAAAATATATCGATAGAAGTCTACCTAATAAAACGAGCGTAGTAAATAGTCCCGAAATAAAAGGACTAGAGTATTAGTTATAGGCCTCGCCCTAGATACTATAGAATAATTACTAGATATATCCGACTAAGAATTAAAGGACTATATAATAATTAAATATAAGAAGCTATATATAACTAGCGACGAACCTAGGATCCCGAAGGAATACTAGGAGTTTATAGACGTTTTTATAGTACCGGCCGATAGAGTATTACCGAAATATAGATCCTTTAATTATAAGATTAATACTATAGAAGGTACTAAACTAACTTTTATATCTATCTATTAGTTATTATAAAAGGAGTCCGATATACTTAAGGAATATATCTAGGAGAACCTACGAAAAGGATATATCTAAGTCTCGAAGTTAGCGGCTAGATATCTTATTATCTTCGTACTAAAGAAGAACGGGAGTCTTCGACTTTATATAGATTACCGATATTTAAATTCGATTACTATTAAAGATCGATACCTACTACCTTTAATTAACGAAATATAAGATAGGATTAGATATACTAAGTACTTTTCGAAGTATAATATTACTAATACCTACTATCGTATTAGGATTAAGCTAGGCTATAAATAGAAAACGATATTTAGAACTAAGTTCGGATATTACGAATATAAGGTTATACCTTTCGGCCTTACTAATATACTAGCGATATTCTAACGCTTTATCTTTAAAGCGATCGAAGAATATTTAGATATCTTTATTATCGTATATCTAGATAATATCTTAGTCTTCTTAGAGATACTCGAAGATTATATTAAATATAATAGACTTATACTATAGAAGCTAAGAGAAGTAGAAGTTACTCTTAAACTAAAGAAATACAAATTCTACGTTTAGGAAATAACTTTCCTCGGATACTATATTACCCCTAAAGGACTAGGGATAGAAGAAGATAAGGTTAAAAGTATTATAGAATAGCCGATACCTAAAAATATAAAGAAAGTATAACAATTTCTTAGTCTAGCTAACTATTAGTAAAAGATTATCGATAGATACGCTAGAGTCGTATTAGGACTCTACTATCTTACTAAAAAAGATTAGAAATTTATATAGGATAAGGTAGTAGACAAATCGTTCTAGGACCTTAAGAAACTCTTTAATAAAGGAACAATCGTAGCTATATTTAGCTACGACTAACTAATTATTATAAAAACCGATATATTAGACTATACTCTAGGAGTAAGACTAACGTAACTAGGAACTAACGGTAAGTACCGACTAGTTATATTTTAGTCGAGGAAAATAGTTCTAGTAGAACTTAATTACAATATATATAATAAAGAACTATTAGCTATAGTATTAGCGTTCTAAGTCTAGAGAGTATATCTAGAGGGAGTAAAGTATATAGTAACGGTTAAGACTAATTATAAGAATCTTATATTCTTTACTATAACGAAGAAGTTAACGAGACGATAAGCGCGATAGGCCGAAACCCTTATATAATACGATTTTAGAATTAAATACTATAAAGGAATAGAAAACGGATAAGCTAACGCGTTAAGTAGACGACTAGACTATAAATTAGGAACTAAAGTAGTAGATCCCGCTATATTAAGATAAAACTCTAATAGTACTATTTCGTATAATAAGTAGTTACTAGCCGCGACGATAGAAGTTAAGAATAACGACTTCTTATAGAAAATTAAAGACGTATTAGAAGAAGATATAATTAATTAACTTATCGAAAAGGGTAGAAAACTTACTAAAGATAACTAAGGATTACTCTATATATATAGATTGATATATATTCTAAGTAAGCTAAGAGATAAGGTTATATAACGATACTATAATAATATCTCGTATAGATATATAGGAGTAGAAAAAACTATCGAATATATTATACGAAATTACTATTTTCTAAATATATAGCGGAAGGTTCGATTCTATATCCGCGTTTATAATATATACTAACGAAATAAACCTATACGATATATACCTTACGGAGAATTATAGTTATCTAAGATACTAACCTAACCGTAGGAATAGATTACGATAGACTTTATTATAAAGTTACTAGTTTTAGATAGATATAATATAATTATAGTTATAGTCGATAGGCTTACTAAGTACGCCTATATAATTCCGACTATAGAAACTATTAATACTAATTAAATAGCGAATATTATACTTCGATATATAGTTACGAATTATAGGATACTAAGTAAGATTATATTAGATAGAGATAAGTTATTTATATCGAATATATAGAAGTCTTTTATAGACTAGATAGATATTAAGCTTAGACTCTCTACCGTATACTACCTATAAACTAACGGTTAGACAGAAAGAGTAAATTAGATAGTAAAATAGTACCTATAATACTACGTAAACTACTAGTAAGATAACTAGATAGGACTACTACTAATAGTATAGCTAATATATAATAATATAGCGTACTCTATAACTAACGAAATACTATTCTTTACGAATTATAGATATAATCTAATAGTATTCGGAGAACTAATTAATAAAATAGCTATAGTAGAATTAGCGAGACTAAAGGCTAGCGGACTAAGAAAGTTATATACGTAACTAGCTAGAGATATTAACTTTATTAATCTATATATAAAGAAATACTATAACGACTACTATAGAGGGGGACCTAACCTTAAGGAGGGAGAAAAGGTTTACCTATTATAATATAATATTAAAACTAAGCGACCTAGTAATAAATTAGACTACCTACGACTAGGACCGTTTAAGATTAAAGAAAAATTAGGACTAGTAAATTATCGCTTAAAGCTACCCGAAAGTATACAAAAACTCTATATAGTATTTTATATCTCGTTACTCGAACTAATACTAGATAACGCCGAAATTATAACTAATATAAAAATCGAGGAAACCGAAGACGAATATAAAGTCGAACGAATCCTATCGGATAGATAGTATAATAGTTAGTAATAACTCTTAGTTTAGTAGAAAGGGTATCCTACTTTAGAAAATATATAGGAACCTATCTAGAACCTAAGGGGCTACTACTAGCTTATTTAGCAGTATTACTAATAAGCGAAAAGGACTCTTATATAGCGGAAGGTATAGAAGAATCGCTAATAAGGAAAGATAAGTCTATCCCCTCTAAGACAGAAGGGGATAGGGGACTAAATATCTAAGTTAGAGTAGGATTCTCTAACGTAGCGGTAAGAACCTAAGTATCGGCGAGACGATCTAGCTTAGCGAGGTCCTTAGTACTAGGAGGATCCTTAGTATTTAACTACTCTATAACTACTAAGTTATAATTTAATATCTAACTACTACGATCTTTAAGAAACTATTATTATTTCTAAAGGCGAAGTATTTTCGATATCGCCTAATTTATTTATTAAGAGTATTTAAGCTATTATTTTTAGGCCTACTCTAACTCTAACGCTACTTTCTAGCGATCGCGCTTAAGCGACTCCTATTTATAATTATTATAAAAACGCTTTATATACTTACAACTATAACGAGTATACTCCGTATAATTCTAACTCTTAGAATCTATAATATAGTTAATAAAATTATTAGAATAATACTTATAAGGAGTATCGATAACGGAACCGGCTACGAGAATAGTATTATATTAATATAATCTATTCTTCTTACGTACCTCGTTAGATATAGGTATAATATAGAAGTAATATAAAAAAAAAAAAAAAAAAAAACGGTATTACTTACTAGAGGGGGGAACCGTAGCTTTATAAGTCTCGGGGACGAAACTCCTAGGAAGAGGGGAGGTAATATTACGGACCTATCTATCACTAATTAGTAGTAATCTATAAGTATACTAATAGGCTATCGAGAGCTAATAGATCGAGATTATATATAACGTATCTAGTAGAAAAGGGTTCGCCGGAAGGTAGCTATTACCGGCCCTCACAGGGCAAATAGCAATTCTACCTTATAATAATATCGATTACCTATAACCGCCTAGAATACGTAACCGTAACTCTAGGACCTACTCCTAGGGAGTATATCCGGGGAGTTACTAGCGACTCCCCGTAGTAACTCTAAGGGAGTTACTTAGGGAGTAGGAAACGAAGGATATATAAGGACACTCCCTTATATACTTAGTTTAGTTCTTCGTCTTCAATCATATATTGTTACTTATATTTACCTTTTGGATTACTATAACTCTTTACTTAATTATAACTTAACAATACTTACGAGTAGACCAATACCCCGGTATAGATCTACTCGGCGCTCTACCTAGTATCAGTTCCTTAATCGCTCAAAAGGACTTAGGCTATAGTAAGGCCCTATACGGCAATAGCTTAGTTGAGACCCGATCATTGACGTTAGACTATTCGAGGAGTATTAAGGCAAGTATACCCTGAACCCATCTAACCTAACTGTGACCAGTTAGCTAGTGCGTAATACTTATCTAATAGACCGTTCTTATTAATATTCGAAATATACCTCGTATACTCGCGCGGGTCGCTTATATAAGCGTAACTTTTATACTAGTTAGGAATAGGATTTATTATATTATACCGAAACTAAACTTTTTTCGGATCTTAAAACGAATAAAAGTAAACTCGATTTATTAGTACCCGAGTTAAGCGAACTATAAGCTTATCTTATAGAGTTATATTAAAAATTATTAAATAAATAAAAATAATATTAAGAAGTAATATCTAGATAATATCGGTTATATAAATAAATATCCTTCTTAAAATAAAAGGGTTTTAAAAAATTAGAATATAATACTAAACTCCTTTAAATTCTTAATAAAAAGTAAATATCCCTAGAGTAGGCTTCCCCTTCTACTCTTAACCTTAAGTAGCTTACTACTATTACCGATTATCCGAACTTTAATTAGATATTAGCGGAGATTACTAATCTCCCTATTTCTTTTTAGGATAAATCCGGTTTTATACCCTTCTCGCTTTCTATTATATAAGGGTTCTTTTCGCCTATTAGTAATACTATTAAATAAGCTAGTAGTAGCCCCTTAGGTTCTAGATAGGTTCCTATATATTTTCTAAGATAGGATACCCTTTCTACTAAACTAAGAGTTATTACTAATTATTATACTATCTATCCGATAGGATTTATTCGACTTTATATTTATCTTCGGTTTCCTCGATTTCTATATTAATTATAATTTCGATATTATTTAGTACTAGTTCGAGTAATAAGATATAAAATATTATATAAAGTTTTTATATACTTTCGGGTAGCTTTAAGCGATAATTTACTAGTCCTAATTTTTTCTTAATTTTAAACAGTCCTAGTTATAGGTAGTCTAATTTATTACTAGATCGCTTAATTTTAATATTATATTATAATAGATAAACCTTTTCTCCCTTTTTAAAGTTAGGTCCCTCTCTATAGTAGTCGTTATAGTATTTCTTTATATATAGATTAATAAAGTTAATATCTCTAGCTAGTTATATATATAACTTTCTTAGTCCGCTAGCCTTTAGCCTCGCTAATTCTACTATAACTATCTTATTAATTAGTTCTCTAAATACTATTAGATTATATCTATAATTCGTAAAGAATAGTATTTTGTTAGTCGTAAAGTATACTATATTATTATATACTAGCTATACTATTAGTAATAGTCCTATCTAGTTATCTTATTAGTAATTTATATAGTATTATAAGTACTATTTTACTATCTAATTTACTCTTTTTATCTAACCGTTAGTCTATAGATAGTATATAGTAGAGAGTCTAAGCTTAATATCTATCTAGTCTATAAAAGACTTCTATATATTCGATATAAATAGCTTATCTCTATCCGATATAATCTTACTCGGTATTCTATAGTTTATAACTATATATCGAAGTATAATATTCGCTATTTAATTAGTATCGATAGTTTCTATAGTCGGAATTATATAGATATATTTAGTAAGCCTATCGACTATAACTATAATTATATTATATCTATCTAAGATTAGTAACTTTATAATAAAGTCTATTATAATCTATTCCTATAGCTAGGTTAGTATCTTAGATAACTATAATTCTTTATAAGATATATATTATATAGGTTTATTTCTTTAGTATATATTATAAACGCGGATATAGAATCGAATCTTTCGTTATATATTTAGAAAATAATAATTTCGTATAATATATTTGATAGTTTTTTCTACTCGATAAGAATTGCGTTTTGCTATTTGGCTGCCTTTTTCGGCTGTAGGTAAGGCCGAAAATAGCCGTCTTTTAGCAACCTCCCTCCGCCACGCTCCCGCCTCCTTCGACCACATACCATACCACTTACTACTTTATGCCTTAGGCTACGATTCCGTACGCGCTAATATCCTTAATTCCTTAAGGGCTTATTAGTAGCTCTACTACGCCTACTAGGGAGGGGGGCGCTAAAAATAGCCTCCTTTAGCACTATACTAGCTATACTCTAGCTAGCTCCTAGCCGCTATCGCTATAAATATCCCCTTCCTACCTATTCTCCGTCTAATACTATCCTTATTTCGATTTAAAATACTACTCTAAAAATCTCCCTTTGATATTCTATCGTGCTTTCTTCTACTTAGTCGGTAGTTCCTTTATACGCTCGGCGAAATTGATTAGCTATATATCGTCGGATAACGCCTAATACCAGTAACTATAGAATTACAAGCGAATCCTCTTATACCTCTCCTATCGATACCGATAATAATAGACCGTTCGAGCCCGATTCCTCTAAGACTAATCTTACTAAGCCGGAGCGCTCCCCTTTAGCGGGTCGAACGATTATTCGGAAGAAGCTAAGCCTAAAGACTAGAACAAAATCTTTACTAATAGACCTATCGAATATAGAACGTATCTACTAAGCCCGATACTAAGTACCCGATAATAATACGGATAAGGACCTAGCCTAAGTACCGGAGGATTACGGCCGATCTAATAAAATAAAGAAGTTAAAACTTCGACTAAAAGAGCGTTAGGCTTAGTAAGTAATTAGGATATCGTTAAAAGCTTATATTATATTAATATTAATTAACCGACTTACCTTATTTTAGGTACTACTAAATAAAAGTAATAGAATAATCTACTAATTATAAGTAGGGGGTTATAGAGGATATACTATATAAAGCGTTACTAAATAATATATATCGATTTCTTAATTAGTATCTAAAGCTAAAGTATAGTCCCGATAGTCGCCGCTAGAAAGGCTATAGAAAGGCTAGCGCCTTTAAAGTAGATTAGAAGTACTTCCGAATTTACTACTAGCGAGTTACTAAAACCGAGATAAGTAAAGAGATAGGCGAGGCCGTTTATACGGTTTATTTCGATCTCTCTCCTAATCGTCTATAGGAGGCTTACGCTAACGAAGATTAATAGGGTATAAGATACTTAATAGATAAGCGCGGTCTAAATAGATAACTATATATAAATATCCTAGTATATATCGAAGATATAATTCTATTTAATAAGATAATCCTTTAAATATAGGAGAAGCGATTCTACCTAGGGTTTTAGCGTATTATCCTATATCTATATAATACTATTAGGTTATTTACTATTAACCGAAAATAGGTAATACTTAACCTTTAGTTTAAGTATCTATAAATATCGCTCTAGTAGGACCTATATAGAGGACCTCCTAAGCCGATAATCGAACTTAAGCCCTAGTTTATAAAAAGCGTCCTAGGTATATCGAAGCTATAGGTAGTACCTAAGTTATATTTGTTTGCTATAATTAGACTAACTAATCGATATTACTTAGTAATACGTTTATACTACCTAAGATTGTCTATAGTATATCGCTTATCTTTAGCCTATATATCCTACTTTTTATTATATTATTTTATATCTACGCCTTTAAAGCGCCTTACTTAATATCGATAGAAGACTTTCGGAGACTACTTATCGAGGGTAGTCGATAGAAAATACTACTTCCTTTAAAGAAAGAGATAGATAATTACTATATCTTCCTAAAGATTAAAATAATCTATAGCTAGCCCTATATTTTATAGGAGACGCCTATAAATAGTAGTATACTCGACGTATAACTTAGGATATCTAGTAAGATATATAGCTTCCTTAATTATTTCTTCTCTTACTAATTTCGATACGGAGGAGGTAATTTACTTAATAAGAGTAGTAAGTAAACTATAAATACCTAAGATTCTAATTTTCTCTAGATAAGCGGGCTAACTCTTCTATCTAGGTTTTATTAGTAAAGTATAGCGTAATATAATTATAGCCTACGCTACTAGTAGAACTTTTATTAAATATTATCGTCCCTATTAGTATACTAGCTTATAAGAGATTATATATAGCCTTAATCTAGACGAAGAGTTCTTAAAGGCTATAACCCGGATAAGCCGTTAGATTAATCGGCGGCGACTACGATACCTAAGCGACGCTAACCGGGAATTAGTAAAGAAAGACCTAGAACTATAATTAGCTATATACTAGTAACTCGATTTAGAGATCTAGTATATTAATTGCTCTTATAACCTAGTATTATAAGCGATACTAGAGGACTAGAAGCGATAAGTCTATAATTTACGCCGGCGTCTATAAGATAAACGGCGGAAAGAAATACGCCGCGATTTTAGTCGGAAATAGGTAGTAATTAATATTAAAAGATAGCTTACTAGTAGGGCTATTAGTAATAAGCCTACGCGCGAGGTATTATAGAAGGAGTTTAAAATGCCGTCGGAGTAGATTCTTCTTATAGAGACGTTCTTTACTTAGCTTACTACCGATTTATTAGAAGACGAATAAACGCGGCGTAATAAAGCTATTACTACTAGAATATAATACTATAGCTTTTAGGAGGGTAGGCCCCTTTAGGGACAATAGAAGCGCTCTATACTATCCGATAATAATAATATAGTTCCCTCTTTATTAGCTCGAAAGATAAAACCTAATACGCCGCCGACTACGTCGTAGGAAAATGAACGTACTACTACTAGCTAGGAGTATATCCGGAATATAGAGTAAATATTTGTATACTTCTAATACCCTAAGATATACTCCGACTATAATAGAGTGAAAAGGCATTTTAGGATATTATATCTAATAGACTAAAAATATAATTTTTACGATTTATCTATCCTATATAAAATATACTTACGGCGGTATACTTCTAACGCTTATAGTCTTTAAATATAAGCGTTAAATTCTACTTTTTCTATCTTAGAGACCTTTACGCTATTCCTTTATTCTCTATCTAGCTATAATTAGCGCTATAGTTAGGTTAGTAGCTATTTTATTAGGGCGTACCGGGTTTATCGCGATTATTTAGAGCTATCGGAATAGAATTTTATCGTAATTTTTAGATAATTATACCCCTTTTTCCCTTTAAGATTCTTTATATTTTACGATAATCTTTACCTACTAAAGGACCGCTTTAGGTATTTATTAGCGGAAAAGTAGACCGAGTACTAGCTAATATAATAATAAATTAGGGACTTAGTAGGTTATATTAGGCCCTTTCTTAGTAATCTTATAACCGTACTTAAAGTCACGTAGTAAATATTTACTAGGGAGGGAATAAAAGACCTACCCCTCGACTAAATCTTTCTCTTTAAACGCCTTTCCTATATATCCTTAATCTAAAAAAGAAAAAGAAAAACTATCTTATCTATCGATTATACCTTCGACGTTAAAATACTAGCTATAGTAGCTCCTCTTATTACGACTCCTAACTTTAAATTAATATCGTACTATAAAGATAGGGACTTTCGAGCTAAAGGGAAGCTTAAGCCTAATAGTCGCTCTTAGACTCTAGTCTACTATTCTTAAGATAAAAAATAGTAGATTAGAGTAACTTTTAAGGGCGCGATATCCTATTTTACCTATAATACTAAGCTAGAGTAAATTAAATTAAAACGCGAACGATAAAATAAATTCTAAGACTTTATAAGATTAATTGATTTTCGATTGTTAGCTCTTCTAGATAATACTTTAACTAAAATAGTCTTAAACGGAGACCCGGAAATAAATAAGCCTATAAAGCTATATCGCGAACTAAAAGATACTAATCGGTTTATAAAACTTATTAAAAATCTATAATTCTATATTCGGGAGGACCTATTAAGAGTAGTTTATCCGCTATACTTCTAATTTCCGTCTTTTTAAGCTATTAATATCGCCGAATTAAAGAAAGAGGATAAAATCACCGACGGAGTATTCTAGGTTTTATATAAGCGCGATAGAAAACTATATATTCTTAAGGTAGTTAATCGGCCCTTTTACTAACTATACGATTCGGATATTATATAAAAAGAACTTAAAAATCTCGAATAATTTAAAGGTATAGTAGGGATCGTCTAGCTAGCTAGTATTATAGTATTCGCTAACCTATACGCGACCTCCTAAAATTGTATTAAATAAATAGTTATTAGCGGGATTCTATTAGAGTATTATAGCGGTAGCTCCTTATAACGTATTTTTAATAAAAAGCGTATTAGGGAATTCGATTAGGAGCGATAGGCTATCTAAATTAGGAATACTTTAGATATTTTTTATTATATAGAGAAAACTTATATAGATATAAAGCCTTTAAATATTATTCTTAACGATAATAGTAATATAGTTATTATTAATATAAGCGGTATCGGTAGAGTAACGTATAAGTAGCGTACTCTAGAGATACGGGATAAAATATCACCCTTTAATCTTCTATTCTAAATACGTCGATTGAATAATATTTAGGCCTATAGAAAGCTTTTAATAGAGATTACGTTAAACGCTAGGAATAGCCCTTTTATAGGAATTCTTAGGTTAGTTACGGATTATCTTACTAAAGAGAATGTTCGTAATAGGTAGACTCTATCTAAGGGAATTTCTTAGTTAAAAATTTATTAGTATATTAATTAATTTATAGTTTATTTAGAATATTCGTATTATAATTAAAGGTAGGTATTTATATTAAGCTTACCCCTAACTAAAAAATTAATAAATCCTATTACTATATTTAAATATAATCCTATTCTATATTATCTTCGTTAAAATCACCGTTAGTCCTCGAACCTATACTTTATTTTAGTCCCTAGTCTTGTAATTAAATAAGAATTTCCTACCTAGCCCCTCTCGTCTTAAGTTAGATTTCTTATTATAGCCGCTAATTCTATACTAGGCTAAACCGCTAGTTAAAGTATCTTCGTAACTTCTAAGTATATAAGCTTTCTTTTCTCGCTTTATAGGGCTATATACCGTTTTTAGCGTTTTATTATAGTAGCTATAGTTATAAACCCTAACTCGGTAATAATATATTTAGAAATAGGTAGCTCTTTAGAGTAAAAGGTTCGGTATATTTATAATTAAGAATACGTGATTTCTTAGTACTATAGGCTTAAAGGAAATTAAGTAGCTTTAGTTCTATACGAAGTAACCTATATTAAATAGGCTCTAATACCCCGCGAATCGCTAATAGAAGTACGCGTATATTTGTTTAGCGGATATTAAACCTTCCCCTCTTTTACCCCTCTTTATATAGGTATTTCGCGTTATAAGTTAGCGACTAGCTACCTAAGAAACGCCGGGGAGGAGTTAGCTAATAACCTATATAACCGATAAATTAGGACTACTATAGTTACGTATTACTAAGCTACTAGCTTTTAGTTATATTAGGGGGTAAAGGCTAATATAGCTAGCTAGAGTCGAACTAAGTAGAGCTATAACTTAGAGTAACTCGCTAACTAACGTAGCTATTAGCTAAAATAACGATATAAAAGTTTATATATTAGCGCGAGGTTAAGTCGTATATACGAGAAATATATAGGATACCTATTAAGTTAATATCTAAAACGCTATCGCTATTATTACTTAAAGCTTTACTATATATTATATATATATACTTCTCGTAACCTCTACCTTTAAATTATAAGGATCTAGAGTCCTAAAAGTAAAGTATATCTAATAATTAAAGACGCTTAAATTAGTCGCCTAATACTAAATTCGTTATTAACGCGGATAATATAGACGTAGAAAAGGTAAAAACGGACCTAGAACCTTCCTTTAGGGCTAATAAATAGTACGCTATTCTATCCGGGAGAAACTACTAGTTATATATAGAAAGCGGGGGATATACTCGATAGGGGTTAAAGGGATAAGGGTTCTCCTCCTACAAAAGGTTAAGCTAAAAAGTATCCTAGTATATTCCGCTAAACGTTCGCCGCTACTAGGCTATCTAAAAGCTTAGAGTATTATCTATATTGTTCTATTACTAATTAATTTACTCTATTAACCTAATTTAGACTAGTAGTACTCTAAACGCTATAAAGCGATAGGCTAATTATATTATAGTCGCTTTTAGCTAAACTAATATCTAAATCGTCCTTCGTAGCTAAAATAAGGATATATAATAGAAAGCTAGTATACAAACAATTTATAGTATAAACCCGCTATTTTAATAATCTATACGGACTATAATAACTAACTATTTATTCACTTTTATATAGTATACCTAGTACTTAATATTATATAATATTTCCGGTATATTATCTAGTTTCTACTATATATTCGGACTTAGTATTCGATAATATATATAGATTAAGTTATTGCCTAATACCTAAAAAGAAAAAGGGAATTAAGAAAGTAGGCTTATACGTATATTAGTAGATTAGCGAGTAAAGGTCTACGATTTTAAGCTCTTTTAGATAGATTAAAACCGGATTATTAAAAGATATATTCTACTAGTGAAAAATAAAATCTTTTATAAAAATAGATTAAATTACCGAGCTCTATCTATAGAAGTATAGAAATAGTTATAGTAACGCCCTCCCTTAAATCTAGAAATATAGGTATAGCGGATCCTTAAGCCTTCCGTAAAATTCTATATACCTATACCTCGCGGGAAACTTCTTTCTATAGGCCTAAGGTAGTACCTTCGTACGAGTAAGTTTGAACTAGGTACTATATAAGCTATAACCGCTAAGAGGAATATAACGATCGATATTTTCGTTTAGTTAGCTTTTAAATATAAGGATAAAATTTTCTACTAAAATAGGATACTAAGTCGGATAAATCCTATTAGAAAGCGCCGATAATATAGTAGCTAACGATCTAGTTATTTATATATATATATATATATATAAAAAGATATTATAGGACTAGGTTTAAGTAAGACCGGTAGAGGCACTTTTTATTATATAAATATCCGCTTTATTTCCTTTTAATTCTACCGCTTTCTAGCGGTTATAATACCTATTTAGATTATAAAAAGTATAGTTTTATTCTAATAATAGAAAATTGGTTAGATTAATTAACCCTTTTATACTATTATTCTCGGAGATAAAATACCTAGTACTTATCGCCTAAGAGGTACGAATTAGGCAAAAACCCTACTTTATTAGGCTTAAAAAATCTAACGTTATATTCCGTACCCCGCGATAACTTTTTACTAAGATCCGATTTCCCTACGAAAGCGAACCTTTAATACTAAAGGTAAGTTTAGTAGTAAAATTTATACGCTTATATACTTATCTAGCTTATTTCTAGTAGATGATTTTTTATTATTTATATTAGATCGTCTACCCTATCCTTACGTATCCTATAAGACCTAATTAGCCTCCTATACGGTATAACTTAATTAAATATAGATAAGTTAGCTATCTTTTTTAAAAGTACTAGCTAGAAAAAGGATAAAGACAACCTAAATATCTATTTTTATAATAATAATAGCCTAAAGCCGCTATTAGTAAAGGCTTCTAGTAAGTTACCTAATTATCTTTAATAGTACGGGTTTTAAGTATAGAAGGTATTAGAGGAAACTAAGTTTATAGAGAAGGAGGGAATTAGAAAGTAAGGGTATATTATACTAGTAACGATTATCTTAGGCTACCCTCGGTTACTATCTAAGCCTTCCTAGCCTCTACTTATTCCTAATACCCTAGTAGTTTTTTAACGCGAACCTATCCTCCTACTAGCTTTATATTTTATTCTCGCTCTTCTACCGACTTCTATATAATATAATATACGGAATTATAAATTTTATACTCTTAGCTAAGGGTCCGGTTAACTAAAGATATTAAGATAGGTTATAAGGAAATATTAGAGGGTAATTTATAGGAGTAACGGTTCCTTATTAGTATAGAAATAGCTAAGGGTAATCTATAGGTATCGAGGTAGATATTACTATAAAAGCTTAAGGAAAGTCTACCGGTATAATTATTACTATTTAGTTACTCGTAGCGCTTATTAGGTCGGAATATTACTTATTAAAAATAAGAGGTTATTCTTAACCCGAGGGCTAAGAATAGTGACTTATAACTTAATTATTTTACGCTATATTAAATTAGGTACTGTTTTCTACTACTATATTTCTAAAATAGGGTATACGTATTTTATATAATCTAGATTCCGTTATTATAAATATAAGTTTAAGCCTATAGGTAGGATATTATAATATCGTAAGGTCCGGCCGATTTTACGATAATATTTATATAAGCGAAGGCTTATAATATAACTCCTTTATATCTTATACTATTTTAGAAGTCGATTAACTACTATAAATAGCGTTATATAGTGATTCTACGGTCGGAGCAACTTATATAATAACTAGTGCTCTAGATTGAAAAGACGGTATCGCTAAATTAATATAAGAAAAAGCCTCTACCCTTATACTAGGTATATAGGTACTAGGCCGACGAGACTAAGGAATATCCGGCTATAGCTAACTAGATCTAGTTATATTAGACTATCGGTTTTTATCTACTATATAGGTATTTGCCTCTAATAGTTAACTTTCTATTACTCGATCTAGTAAGGCTTTAATCGGCCTTAGGACCTTTATAGTCTCGTCCTCTACTAAGGTATAAAGACTATATATCTTAGCTTCTTCTAGTAATCCTTTCTACCTTAGATAATTTAATATAATAAGTCGTCTAGGCCTATTCGCTAATTTAGGAAGCTCTTTAGTCTAGCTATAATATTATTAGTAAAGCTACTTCTCTCTCCCTTAGGTTATTACTTATATCGACTTACTACCTTCTTCTAGAAGGAGATATAACGCCCCTAGCCCTCCGAGGTTATTAGCTAGTAGACTATATCGCTCTCCTAGGCTAACCTAATATCGTACGCGGCGTTTAATATCGGAAAGTAAGTCTCTATAGCCCGAACCTCCTATAAGATAGGCTATAAATATCGAAGTATTATCGTATTAGTACTAGGTACCTAGTTATACAGTATTCTTTAAGCGGAAGAACGCTATATAATAAATCCGGAGGCGGATTTTTCCTAGCTACTATTAATTTTCGTATAAGACGAGTAGTTTATAGAAATCGGCGAGCGGATATATTTATAATAAATTTAGGATATAGCTAAGGAAAGGCCTAATTTAATAAGTGCTTAAAGAACCTCTACTACTCTCCTCGCTACTTACTAGTAAGTATAAAGGGAAAAGCGATTTACGCTTATCCTATAGGTCTTAGACGATTTATAGAGGTTAGAGTTATTATAAGGAATATACAATAGCCTTCTTAATAGCGGACTAATAAGAAGTATATCGGATACGCTAGGGAATATACTTATATATACTTTTTAATACTTTGATATTTTCCTACTTAGATAAGGATTAAAGCTTTAGATAAATTATCGAAGGAGGCTTATAGTATTATTCTAGAACTTAGACTTATCTAGTCGATACCTTCCCTCTTCTATAGCTTTATTATAAATAGAAAGAAGACTATTTACTAATATTCTACTTTCTACGATATCTATAGTAGTTACTAAAAACCTAAGTAAATAGTCGGACGATATAGGAATTAGTAGGTATATATAGGGTAGTAAAAGAATAAGATTACTAGTAGCTAATCGACCGATCTTATAATCGTACTTTTGCTAGTAGGATACTAATCTTATATTAGCGGTAGGGTACTATATATATAAGCTTTACCCGATTCTAAATAGGTTTTCTATATAGAAAACCTATTTAGAATCGGGTTAAGCCCCCTACTCCGTCTTTTTTTATTACTAGCCTACCGTAGTCCTTTAATAGCCGCTACGGGTATATCTAGGTATTTTAAATTACTTATATAATACTTATAATATACTACTCTTAATATATAGCTTAAAATAAATAAAGTAGTATATCGAGAATAAAACCGCTTAGCGCTTATTACGACGGCTTTAGTATCTTATCCCCGAAAACTAATTTTAACTAAAGGTATATAACCTAAATAACTATACCTATATTTTAGGGTATATATAAAAAGAGAAAATTATACCCTTAGCTAAATTTCTAGATTTACCTATTACTAAGACTCTAAAATAGAGAATATAATATATTTAAAATTTCGCTATTTACTTTTAAACTATATATCCCGCCTCTTCTCCCTACTAGGCAACTAGCGCGCGATAGTCTTATTTAGGGGCCTAGACCCTAATAAAAGTAGTATATATAAATCTACGAAAGGCGCTAAGCCTTTAATAGTAAATAAAAAGCCTACCTTTTCTACCCCTTCGGACTTAGGTCGTTTTACTAAAGACTTAGTACCTATTCGCTTATATATAAGATACCCTTTCCCCTATATTAATACCGAGTTCTAACTAAATAAGACTGTACGAGTTTAGTTTTCTCTTAATAGTCTTAAACCTATAGAAGATATTAAAAAGAGGGGCCTTAAAGATATAGTTATTAATACTATTACTTTTTAAGAGCTTAACACTTAGTATTAAGCCTATAGTAACTATAGAACTACGAAGGAAGTATTCCTAGTAGATCTTACGGTACTTAAGACTAGTATTATACGCGTTATAGGGAAGTATAGGATTATAAAATTCGTTCCTCTAAGTAGCGAGGATCCGATTATTTTATAATAACCGGTAGAAGATCTTAACTTAAAGAAAGCTCTTAGCTACTAATACCTATACTCTAAATACTTATAGGAGTACGTAAAAAGGTAGCGCCTTACTAAATATTTAGGTATTAAGATAGATAAAGTTTAGATAGACTAGTATAATAACTATCTTAGAGAAATTAGTAACCGCCTTAGAAAGCTCGGTTACTATTAATTAAAGTAAATATAATATAACTTATAGTTTACTCTTATATTAATTATAGGAAAAGCCTTAATCTAGAATAAATAAAAAGTTAAAGTTCGAATAGACCGTTTTATATATAATACTTCGGTATCGATCTTAAAGTATTCCCTATACTTAACTATTATAAGGTAGTCTTAAGAAAGTAACTAAGCCCTCTGATATTTTAGAAGATAAAGTATTAAAATTCTAAGTTATTAGTACTAGTATTAGAATAGTACTATAACTAAGATATTATAAAATATCCCTTACATAGACGCGTAAGTTATTCTCGAGAGAAAAGCCTTTATCGAGATATAGTTCCCGGGATCTTCTACTTCTTAAAGCCGTATAGATATCTAGTAGTATCCTAGTATCTAGGCTAGGGTTTTCCGAATTAGTCTATTCCTAGACTAATAAAGATTTAATTCTTAAAGAGAGTATTACTTTTAAAGCAATTTCTACTAGCTTATATAGGAATTAGACGGGAATCGGGGAAGGCTTCTAAAGTAAGTATATTATCGCTATAAGCGGGAGGCGAGGGTACTTACTATAGCTAGATCTTTATTTCGATAATAAGGTACGATAAATAGCGCTTTAGAAAGTAGAAATAGGTACCTTAATAACCTAATAGACTTAAACTAAAAAATATAGCTAATACTTAAAGCCTTCTATCTCTATTAATATTTTTACTATATATTATTCTATACTACTCGAAGCTAGCTATCTAACTAGCCTTATATACTACCTTTCTTTTATACCGCTCCGGTCTCTTCTTCCGAAGTAGATATAATCCCTCTAGTTTCTATTAGGAGAGGGAGAACGCCTAGATTAAACTGTCCCTAATATTTTTAGCCTTTATACGGGAACTAAACTAGCGGTATATAAGCTTTAAAATTCGGAAGTTGTATATAACGTTATAAAGCCTCTACTAGTTTATATTTTAGATTAAATAGAGAGACTACTATAGATATATACTCTACTAAAATATTATCTTTATGAGTTTTCTAATAAAGTACGAGCTTTTCTATATGATTTTCTTATACTTAATTACTAGTAAACTAACCCTAAGCTATCTCTATAGACTATGAAACTATTGAGCTTCCTAATATTAAGTCTATTAATAGTAAGATTATTTACATAGAAGAGGAATACCTATCCCTTAAATAGTTAACTATACGTTTAAAAAATAAAAGACTAGCTATAATTATATTGTTAAATATTAGTTAGGGATCGGGTCTTTAGTAAGTACTCTTCTTTATTCTTAGGCTTATCGTAGTAATCTAATTTTCGATAGCTAGGGCCTCTAGATATTAACCGATAGGCTAGTGTTAAAATGATTCCGGTACTTTCGCGGTATAATCATAGGTTATATAGCTAACGCTTATAGCTAAATTTATAAATTCTAATATAAATTTATAATAAAATGTTTTAAGATATTCTATCTATTACCCTTTGAATTAGATGCCTATTCTTCGAGTTTGAGTATATATAGGATAGAATAGAAACCTATAGCTCTATTATTAGCGTTTCTATAAATTCTTCTACCCTTATAAAGGACTTTAATAAAGTGATTTTCCTAATATAATAAAATATACTTAGTAGGTTATTGACCCTTTAATAGTCCCTAATCTCTTTTAGTTACTACTATTCTAAGGTAGAGAAAGAAGTAGTAGCTAGCTAATAATATAAGGGCGGAGTATAGGAATATAATTGGCTTAATATTACTCTTTTAACCTAAAATAATAAAGCCTTTAGTTACTAGCTAAATACTATATATAAAAAAATCTAATTATCGTAAATTAAATATTCTTATTAATCCTTTCGGTTTAGAGGCTATTTATTTTAGTAAGATCGATACCGGTAGGCGATTAGTAAAGTAATTAAATAATAGCCTTATATTTTACTTTATTCCTAGCCCCTACGAAATCTACTATTTCGTAGGGGCTTTTAAGCTTTATATAGTATCCTAGGAAGCTATATATATTAGCTTATAGAATTAAAACTATTTTTATAACGTAATAGCTCGTTAAAGCTATTATAGAATATTAAATATTTCTAGGATATAAATAGGGTAAGTACCTATTTAAGTATATAAAGATAAAGACCTCTTCTAGTAATCTCCGAAAGAAAAGTAAGTATTAGATTAATAAAAATAGAGTTTCCTCTTTATAGTACGCTCTTTAAACTACTATAGTATTATTATAAAGCTAACCTAAGGATCCTTAGATCCTAATACTAATATATCCTTACGAAAATTTAGATAAATAGGGCCGTATATTTATAACGTTTTATATAGTTAGAAAGAGTATATCTATTAGGCGAGGCTATATTAGCTAATAACTTATAGATTTTATTATTAAGCTCAATATAACGAAGGGCGCTTAGTATAAGCCTATCGACGATAAGTTATAGTATTAGTATACCGGAAGAGGTAGTACTACTACGAATTTTATACTTAATCGGATATATAAAGTCCTTCTAAACTCTAAGAGCTATAACTATATTTAGGATCTATTTAAACAATCTAATTTTTTAATTTCCTAGAAGTTAGAGATAGAAGAAATATACTTAAAGAAGCTAGGTCTCTATCTAGTCCCTAGTAGTAAGAAGCGTATTATAACTTTATTAAATTAGAGCTAGAGGCTAATATATAATAGACTTAATAATAATACGTATAGATAGATAGGCCTCTATAGAAGGTTATTCTTATAAACTTATTTCGAAGGAATTATATAGCGGTTGTTAACGCCTCTTTACGCCTAGCCGGGAATAACTTAGTTTTACTAAGATATACGCGGGTCTATAGATTCTCGGTAAATAACCGATATCTATATTCTAAGGAATATCTATTATTATAAGGAGCTAGCTTTAAAATCTAGAGTTTTTTATTACTAAGGAGGGGGTATTAACTAAGCTTATCTTACTACTAGGGTAGCGTATTAAAACCTAGGGTATTACTAATCTTATAAAAACGCGGGTTGTCTAAGGCGAATATTATATAACTTAGCTTTTACGGAATAGAGACTATTAGGATACTAAGTACGAAATATCGAGTTCTCTATAATTTTAGTAGTAACTAAGGGGAACCCTATAGGAACTTTTTAATACTTTATATTAAAGGACGTTATTTTATCGCCCCTCTATTTTCTTTAGCTATACGGAGAAAGCTTAATACTTTATTTTTAGAGAGTATTAGAGCGGTAAATTACCTTTAGTAAGGACTATTATAGAGAAATTCGCTTTCCTATTTTAGGGGAACCTTTATAAACTAAAGTAGCTTTCTATCTTTTATCCGTTAATTGTCTTACGTAACTAATAGAAATTATTATTACTCTATTTAGCTATAGAGTTATATCTCTTAAGAGAGCCGATCTTAGAATATCTTATAGATTAGATTATATATCCTAGCTATATATCTATATATAAAGCTATATTAGGCTACCTTTCTATCTAAATACGCTTATTTTTATTATAGTTAAGTAATCTTATTCGCGTACTTTTATAAACGTAGTAGTATCTATACTTACCTCTATTAAATATAGTACGAGAGCTAGCTATATACCCTATTATATAAGTATACCTTAAGCCCTTAAATAGTATTTAGAAAGCTATAGCTATATACTTAAATAATAAGTCGATAGTAAAACGGTAGTCCTAGCTAATACTACTCCGAAAAACTATATAGATATTTACCTACCGGGATATTTCGGTTACTAAATAGGCGTAGTAGTAATTAAACTACCTTTTCCTAATTTAGTATAAGTCTTAAGTATCTTATATACCCGGGTAAATTAGTAGCGTCGCCCTTAGAACTATTT